TCTGAGATCAGTTACAAAACAAGGGTGTCCATTTGGCATATTTCTATTCAACATGGTAGTAGAAATTCTCGACTGAGCAATCAGACAAGAAAAATAATAATAGCAAAAGACATCCAAATTGGAAAGGAAGTACAATTATCTGTTTGCAGACAACACAATCTCCTAAGAAAGAATGAGCCACTAAGTACTATTCACATTAATAAACACTGAAAATTCACGGGACAAGAAAAAGCCCAAGTCAGCTTGTATAAAATAATTTCTATAAGGCTGGGCATGGTGGCGCACACCTTTAATCCCAGCACTCAGGAGGCAGAGGCAAGTGGATCTCTGTGAGTTCAAGGCCGCCTTGTCTACATAGTGAGTTCCAGGACAGCTGGGGCTACAGGGAGACTCTTTTTTTTTTTTTTTTTTTAAAAAAAAAAAAAAAAAAAAAAAAAAAAAAAAAAATTTCTACAAACTTATTCATAATTTAAAATACAAAAAATGAAATTAAGAAAGCAATTTCAATTATAATAGCACCAAGAAAAATATTTAGGCATTGCTTTTATTGTGGAAACAAAAAAAAAACTTGAACACTGCAAACTATGAAATATTCATGAAAGAAATTAATGATTAAAAAAGAAATTAATGATTTAAATACATCTGTGTTTATGGGCTGAAGACTCAAAATTGTAAGGAAGTTAAAATTACTGAACATGATCCATAGAGTCAATGCAATCCTTCACCAAATCCCAGCCAGCCATACATGGCTAATGACACCGGAAATGAGGCCAGTACAGCAAAGGAAATGAATCTCATTTTTTTAATTTGAAATAATTTTAATTTAAATAACCACATGTGCCTCACAGATCCTATATTCCACAGTCTAAGTTACAATGAGCTCAAGCCAAAATGTTTCTGTTTTCCAACTGCACATCCTGTTAACTGTCCCTGCAGGAGGGTGTGGAAGCCATTAGGCTGGAAGTAGTGGCGATGGCGGGAACCCTCCCCCACTCCTGCAGGGTGGGCAGCAGCCACATTCTCCCCTGATAACATCTCAGAAGTGGCAGAGTGCTTACTGAAACTCATAACAACACAATTAAATGTGCACACACTTCCCATTGGGGCCCAAGACCTTCTAAAGGCCAAGCTACTTGGTGGAATTAGGCAAAATTTTTCTGTAATTATTTCCTTCCCTTTTGGCTTTTTGATAGGGAGAAGGGGATGTTTCAGAATTGGAACTTAAAGAACGCCCCCCACCCAGAAATCTCATCAGTGGAACAAACCACACCAACACAATTCTGTTTCTGAAAAAGCTTTATGAAAATTTTCAACACTGTCCAACCAATGGCTCCTTGGCCACTCTGTTGTATGATTTCAAACAGATTAGATCCCAGACAGTTTTTATGACCACTGCACATGTAAGCAGAGCTGTCCCTCCCTCCTTTCCAACTTGGCAGGCTCCTCAACAAAGCCAAATAAATACATGCTAGGAAAAGGAGGCCGCACACAACCCAGATGACTGCCGCCATAACTCCTGGGCTGCAGTTCCTCTGGTTACTTCAATTTTTACTCCAAAATGCAAGAATGCCCCACTGCCCACTGAGTTTGGAAATCTAAGAGCCCAAAGCAAGTACTTTGCACCCAATAAATAGTCCGTGGACAAAATTACTAGGAACCACACACTCCCAGGAAACATACAGCCCTAGCTGCCTAAGGTGCTCTGCTTTGAAAGGTTGCATACTTGAGATGGGGGCGGTCCCCATTTAGGGGAGGGTCACTGCAAAGTTCCTCCAGAAGTAAACAGCCTAATAATAAACTTTCTTAAAAGGAACAGTCACAGCCTGGGGACCCACACAGGGAAGAGCCAGCCCAGGGGAGTCCCCAGCAAGGTGAATCCTGAAGTCACCATCCGGTGGTAAAGAAGAGTCTACCACTGTTTCCCCTCCAGGTCCCTAGGCAACCAGCAGATAAACAACAGAAGGCCTGGGTCACCCTGAGGGGGCAGCTCATGAACCTTTGAGCAGGTATACTTCATAGCCATGTGTCAGGTCTATGAACTACAACCTAGAATTACTTTCCAAGGAAAAGATGCACAAGGAATCTGCAAGTTTCCAGCTCTTAGGCAGATTAGCCACATCCTGCCCTTTAGGGATCCCAGTGCTTTACACCTAGCACCTTCATATTCTGGCCTCCCCTGACAACCCATTTTAAAGGAGTGGCAATTCTCAGCAGAAATCTTTCTAAAGGGGATTCATCTTCCCTACCAGTCAGAGGAGACTACTTCTAACCCCAGCATATCTATCCCCCTGTCTTCAGAAAGAGTCCCCCAAAACAGGGCCACATAAAGAACAGGCTCTGTCAAGCCTGAAAGTCCCTGAGGCAAAGTCTAGGCTAAATGTTTAAAGGGGCAACCAGTGAGATTCGCCACTGTAAGTCACACAGACACCAATTACAGCTAAACTCTGAGTAAACAATAGGAGCAACGTTTGACAATAAAAATAGAAATATCATTTGTGCATTCTCATAAAGTTGCAGACTACTGTCATCAAAGCTCCCCCAGAAACACAAGTTTTGAAGCCAGCGTTAATTTTTTTGCATGAAAAAAATATTAAGCAGAATTCTTGTTGGTTTTCTAATTATAACTCGTTAACCCAATCAAGTGCAGGCACCAGATAGGGATGTAGGGAGGTAGCTCTGTGGTAGCATGTGGGCCTACTAAGTATGAGGCACTTAGTTTAGGCACTACAATAGGAAATTTTTTTCAAAACAGCCTAGCTGACTGAAACCCTTCTGTGACAGTGCATGACCCACAGGGTTCACAATGTTCTCAGGGTGAGTCTTCTCGAGTGGGTGCCAGCATTCAACTTAAACTCATTATTTAATGCTAAAAAATTTCAAATGTACCGTTCTACTGGCTCGATACACAGGCATAATAAGAAAAACATGTCCCTTCACTATGTACACAAAATCTGTTTCCACATTCTTTTTATACAAGACGTTTTCATTTCTTTTCTTCTAGAAGAGTGGTTGATATCATTGGCTGTTGTGACCATCACTCCTGGGACCTGGGCCAGAAGCAAGCACTACCCTGTCAAAATGAGAGGAGGGAGACCCTAAAACTCATCACTCCTGCTTTCCCTACCCAAAGGAGTTCAGCATCCAGATCAGGTATTTGTGTCCCTACAGAACAGAATCTTCCTATAAAAACATGGAGAAAGAACATATAAACCCTTTTAAAATAACCTTTCCATGTTTTCTGAAATAGCGAATCATTTCAGGTATAAAACTCTCCAACTGAAGGAACTCACTTCTTGACGGCAGAAGAGATCTGGAACCCCCACATTCCTACCATATGCCCACTTTTGAATGGGAATTATTATATTCTTTGTATTTTCACCCACCTTGGCTAGCAATCCCTAAAGAAGATAAACTTGCCCTACTCCTTCCCCTGTAGAAATACAAATATTTCACTAGCAAGGAAGATTTGCCTCCATATAAGGTTCAAAAGTTAAAATGGCTTTGTTCATGAGACCCTTTCTCTGCACGGAGTGCAGTACTCAAGATGCTACACCAGAAAGGCAAGTTCTGGTTACAACCTTGATTTTAAGCAACCCAGGCATCATCCATCATCATCGCCCAGCTTCATCCCCACCCCAGAGCAAACCCCATCCCCCACCCCAGCTGCATCAAAGTCGCCCCCAGGCCGTGGGGTTTGCAAAGCTGTTTTCCAAGGCTAAGACTTTGCAAGGCAGTAAACCACTGAGTGGCTGCCAGCAAAAGCCGCAACTGCCCGTGGAGGCGATCTGTTTAAGGCCCCCAAGATTTCAAAAGACCGTCCAGATGGTAGGAAGACTTGGGGTATCATGCTGGGACAATGAGGTAATGACATTAACTTGAGACGAGGTGTACGTGTCTCATCCTGCAATCAGCGGTTCATGCTTTCGTGGACAGAGGTATAAATGCGAATCAAGTAATCAGAAACGTTCGACGCCATCAGCATCTGCTTAACCCAAACGCCCACCTCCCTGGGGTCGGCCAGGACAGCAGCAATGCAAGAGCCACAAGGCTCAGCAGGACTCAGGAAGAGCCAGGCACCCACACTGCCAACCGCAGCTTCCTAACTCTCACCTGCCTGCGGGAACGCGGGGCGGTGAGGGGCTCAGACGCCCCGGCGGGAGTATGGCGTATCTCACTGAAACTTCAGACAAGCCAGAGCCTCCAGGGCCTGGAGGCCGCGCCGGCCCTTCCTCACATCTGCAGGGTACACAGAATTGGCCCGGGACCCGGAGGCCACTAGGTGCTTCGGGGTCTTAACTGCTAGGGCCAGGGCCGCCTCCTCTCTCCAACGCTGGCCAGTCTGTCCAAGCACCCTAGAAACCGCTTCTGCACGGAGGAGTGTCGTGCACCCTGGCCGAGCACGCGCAGGGCCCCAGGGGCTAAGGGAACGGGCGAGGAAACCCCACCCGGGGACCCTCTCCCTCCAGCCGTGAGGCATTGAGTAGTGGGGCTCAAAGAAGCGGCTATCCCCACTGCCCCAGCGTCCCCACCCCCCCGCCCCGCAACACCTCTTTCGTCTCTACCAACAAAAGGAAAGCCAAGACCTTCGATCACGCGGCCCCCACCCACTGCCAGGGCAGTGACTAGCTCAGGGCCTCTTCTGCCCTAGGAGCAGGCGGAGCATAAGGGTCCGTGTGGCCTGGAAAGGTGACCTCGGAAGGAAGGATGGACGTCTTGGGACGCCCTGGGCACTTCTGTGTATGCTGATCCCGGCCACCGCGGACGGGCAAGGGACTCCCCACCGCCGCCCACCTCAGCCTCTGGAAACACTTAGTGGTCCCCAGGGCGCAGCTTATTGGAACTAGCCCCAGGCGACCGAGTGCGCTGGCCCAAGCTGGCGCCGAAAGCGCGGCTCATGGCCCTGCCCGGCGCCCCTCGATCGGGAGCATCGGCGCCGGCGCGGCGGCTCAGGCCGAGTGGTGGAGAACCAGGCGATGCTCCAAGCGCGCGCAGCCTCCTACCTGAGGTCCAGGGCGTCCAGAGCAGAAACGCGGCAGCCGCCCAGACGGCTCGGGCGCACAGAGAGGCGCACGACGGCCGCGCCCAGCCCCGGGCCATGCTGTGGGCCATGGATACCCGGTAGCCCCGCTGCACGCTAGGCCTTCGCGCTTCGGGTCCGGGCGCCTCCGCCCCTGCCCGCCGCGCGTCCGCTCCTTCCTCCCCGCGCTTTGCAAGCTGGTCTTCGAGGACCACCCCGCCGTCCCTTTCTCCCGGGCCCGATGCGCTGCTCAGCTGCAGCCAGGGCTCGGGCTGGCTTCGGAGGCTCCGGGACGCGGGCTCCGGCGTCCCCCCGGCCGCCGGGACAAGCGCGGGGGGCGGACCTCGGGCGGGCGCGCAGGAGGCAGGGTCCCCGGCTCGCCCGCCCCGATGGGCAGAGAGGCCGGCGCCGGCGCCCTCTGCCGGAGCCACTAGGGGGCGGCGACCCGAGCACGCGGGAAGTCAGAGCCGGATCAGCCCCCCGAGTCCAGGGAGCTGCGCCCGCCCTCCAGCCCATGCCTCCGGACCCCGGGACACAAAGGTGGAGCCTCGGGCACATCCACCCGCAGAGTGCCCCAAACCGTTGCCACCCCTGTCGCGGGGCCGGAAACCTAGAGACCTAAGTCACTGATCAGAAATGCCAGGAGACACAACGCAGCCAGCCTCACTCACCTCCACAAAGGGAACTTAGTCACCTGGTCTCAGAAACCCTGGCTAGGCGCAGAAGGAAGAGGTGAGGCGAGGGCTTGGCAAAGATGTTCAAGAAAATAACTGGCCACGTCCCCACGGGCGCCCTGCCAAGCCCGTTGGGGACAATCAAGGCCCTCCTAATCGCGCACAAACTTCAAGTGGATCAATGTGCAGGCAGCCGGCGGAAGCGCGATGCTATCTGAAGCCACCTCAGCTTAGGGTTTACTGTTGAAAGCAAATTGTATCGCTTTACCCATTAAAGGCAGAATGCTATTTGTCTCTGCAGAGCCCCCGAACATGCAAAAGTAATTTGCTTCATTTATAAAAAGACATTTTGTACATAATTCAAATAGCATACTTTATTCTTGCATTTGCTTAGCACATTCAAAGGTCTGGATTTGGAAGGCCTCTTGTTTCCTGCTAAGGAATTTTCTTTGTTTTCCTCTCGGAGATAGGATTTGGAGTCCCCTGCCTCTCGGTTGTTTGTTTTGTGCGATTTAACTGATTACTGATCAGTGTTTTTTCTGGAGCACTAGTCCCTGTTAATTGGGGTGAGGGAGGGAGACCTTTCAGAGCTTGCTTCCCTGAAAGTGACCCCCACAGCCTCTGACACGCAGGAATAGAAGTCTAACTGTGGTCTGCTCACAGAGAGCCTGAACCAGGCCTGGTCCCTCCCTCTGCTGGGTTTGGAACATCTCCACAGTTCTCATCCCTGCAACCTGCCTCTGGGAGACCACCCCAGCACCCGTGCCACTAACCAGGGCATCCTGCAGGTGCTGAATCAAGGGTGTCATTAGGGTTTGCATCTTTTTCCCTTCCTTTTTGGGGCTCTTAAAGACCCTTTTAGAGTAAGGCAAAGTCTAAGGGTTGAAGCATTTAAATGCTCATGTGTGTGTGTGTGTGTGTGTGTGTGTGTGTGTGCAAGCCCTTGCCCCTGCATGAGGTGTGGAGGCTAGAGGTCAATGACCAGTGTCTTTATTGCTTGCCACCTCAATTTTAAAACAGGGCATCTCACCTGAACCTGTAACTTCTTGGTCAGTAGTAGCAAGTCTCTGAATGAGCATGTCCCTGCTACTTCCCTTCCACCCCACCTCCCAGTGCTGGAGTTACATATGCACACAAGGTTGCAGCTTTTACCTGGATGCTGAAGATCCCAATTCAGGTCCTCACAGTTGCTCAGCACTTTACCCATTGAGCCATCTGCACTGCCCAGACAGAGGCTACCATGCTAACCAGACAGGGCTGGGAAAACCAGACAAGGGCTGCAGAGAAGGGTCCTTTGAGGCCCACCTGGAAAAATCAGTCACTTCTAAAGGTTTGTCACCTTTGTCCCTCACAGAGGGACATCAGAACACTTTTGATGTAAGTTTGAAGCTTGGGCTCCAGACCCCTGCCTCCGTAGCTGTACCATTTGTTCTTGTAGGACCTTCAGGAAAAACCCTTACCGTGCATGCCCTTATCTTTCTGCTGTTTTCAAATAACTGCATCCCACAAACCTGATCCAAGAGGTTTTTTTTTTTTCGCTTGTTTTTGTTGTGTTTGGCTTTTTTGTGGTGCTAGGATTGTACCCACGGCCCTGCACATGCTAAGCAAATGCTCTACCACAAAATCATATCCCCAGGCATTGACCAGTTCAATAGCAACATATTGCCAACAGTTTCTAGGCTGAGGTCAGAAATGTGGGTGATGGAACATATAATTCCTTAAAGCTTTTTTAAAATCATTTTTTGCACAGTTTCTCTTTCCCCCCAGATTTCCCTATCAATAACTCCACCCTGCTTCCCTTACCTCTCACTCCCTCCTGTTGATTCACAACTGAAGGATAAACAAGTAAAACCGAAGAGGTTAAAGCACAAGCTTTCTCAACAGTTAGTGTGGCTTAGAGCCAAGGGCAAAGTGGAATTGTATTTTCCTTCCCACTGGTATTAGTTGCCAACCTCTGTGGAACAAATTACCCCCAAACCCAAGAGCGTCAGACAGTAGATATCTATCATTTCACATAATTTCTGTGGGTCAAGAATCCAGGGTGGGAGAAATAATTTGGTTTGTAAAGTAGTTATCATGCAAGCACAAGGACCTGAGTTTGATCTCCAGAACCCACATAAAATAAAGTCATGGCCTGGTAAGATGGGTAAGCACACTTGCCACCAAGCCTGACAACTTGAATTTTATCTGGAATCCCCACAGAAGAGGAAGAAAACCAACTCCTACAAGTTGTCCTCTGACCTCCATACACACCCACCATGACACTTGCACACATAAATATAACAAAAATAGTTTTTTAAAGCCAGGTATGGGGGACTGCAAGATGGCTCAGCCAACAGAGTACTTGTTACACAAACATGAGGACCTGATTTAATTACCAGAAAGCACATTAAAAAAGGCCAGGTGTGGTGGTATGCAGTTGTAATCCCAGCACTGAGGAGGCACAGACAGATGGACCCCCAGGGCTTGCTGGCCAGGCACCCTAGCCTACTCAGTGAGTTTCAGGCTGACAAGAGCCCCTGTCTCAAAAAACAAGATGGACAGCTCCTGAGGAATGACACCCAAAGTTGACCTCTACTACCCATATGTGCATCTGCACAAACACATATCCACATGCATGTACACACACACACACACACACACACACACACACACACACACACAAACGTTGGGGGGAGGGGAGGACGGGAAACAGGAATTTAGGACAGACTTAGGTAGGTGGCAGTAGCTCTGGTTCTGCCCAGAGATTAAAGACAGAAGTAAACCAGAACCACCGTCACCTGGTGGCTTGTTGAGTGTGATGATTCTCAAGCAGTAATATAGATGACACAGGCAGAGCAAATAAGTTCTGGGCATAAGCAGGGACCCTCAGGGTCTAATCATGTGGACCTCTCTATAGGGTGTCCTTATAGCGTGACAGTTGTTTTCCCCAAAAGAGAACTAGATAGAAGCCACAATGTCTCTTAGGACCTGGCCTTGGAAGCATACAGCATTATTTCTCCAGTGTTGTATTGGTTACCCAGGACCCCCCTTCATCATAGGAGAGACCCACGTGAGTCTGAAGAAAGGAATCCTTGGAGCTGCCTGGCACTACCCCTATACAGGAGACAGCTGTCATGATGCTTCAAATGCCAGGCAGCAGGGAAAGTGAGCACACTCTGCACTAGCAAGGGGAGGAGGAGGAGGCCAGGCATGCTGTCAACAGCAGCAAGCATACTTGTAGGGACATACATTCCCAGGGGAGTGAAGAGCCAGAGTGAAGGCTTCTGGGCCAGAACTTGACCAGAGGTGTTCTGTGATATCTGGGAAACAATCTGTAAACCAGGGTGGGGATGATGTGTGGGTTAATTTGTATTTTCCTAATAAACAGTAATGTTCTGTACCTTAACTTGTACTATAGTAATATATTTCCTATGTTCATTGACTGTCTGTAAACTTCTTTGGGGAATATCTCTGCAAATCTGTTGCTTTTGTTTTTTAAGTAGGGAAGCAGAACTTTAACCCAGGGTCTCCTACATGCTAGGCAAACAATTTGAGCTACATCCCCAGCCCTTGTTTATTTGAGATAGGGTTTTGCTCTGTACTTCAGGCTGGCCTGGGTTTTTGTTGTTTGTTATTGTTGTTGTTGTTTAGAGACTGGGTCTAATGTATCCTAGGCTAGCCTCAAACTTGTTATGCCGCCAAGAATGACCTTGAAATTATTTCTGCCTTTGCCTCCTGAGTATTGGGGTTGCAGGCATGTGCTACCACATACACATTATGGAGTGCTAGAGATTAAACTTCAGGCAAGCTACACAAGGATACTACCAACTAAGCTTACAACCCCAGACCTCTGGTTTTCTTTTTCTTTTCTTTTTTTAAAATTTTATTTATTTATTTTTTATTTATTTATTTATTTATTTTTTTAATACGGGGTCTTACCATGCAGCACTGGTTGACCTGGAACTCACTAGGTTGGCCAGGTTGACCTGGCACTCACAGAGGTCTGCCTGCCTCTGCCTCCCAAGTGCTGGGGTTAAAGGCGAGTGCCAACATACCTAGCTACAAAGAACTCTTTAAAACTGAAAGCCAAGAATACATGCAACCCAATTAAAAATGAAACCCAGGGTTGAGCAAGTTGGCACACCTTTGATCCTGTTATTCAGGAGGCAGAGGCAGATGCAGCTCTGTGAGTGCCAGTCCACCCTGACCTACGTAGGAAAGTGAGTTCCAGGCCAGCCAATGCTACATGGTGAAGCTCTGTCTAAAAAGAAAATAAAAAACCATTATTTGTAATAACAACTCACTTGAGATACAGAAGTGGTTTTTTCCCATCCCTGACCTTTCTTTTTTTTTTTTTATTTTATGTTTTTTGATGCTTTTCCGTAATCAGGAGAGCAGTTCATGGTTGAAATCTGATTTGTCCATTCTTTTTTATTTTATGAGTAGTGCTTTTGGAGTCTCAGGGAATGCTAAGGCAGAGCCCCAAAAAACAATAATCAGTAAAACTCTGGAAGATTTGGACACACCAAACTTAAGTCCACTAATGTGGAAAATAAATGGCTGAAATTTGGGGCCTCTGGGAAAACCAACACAAACTAATGTGCTGGAGTTTCCACTTAGTCATTGCTTTTCAGTTAGGAAACTCTTCCCATGCT